ATCTTGAAATTTCAGTCACAACCATTTGAAAGCATCACAAATCCAGTGGCGTCGTCAAATTTCATATAAAAAAATCGCTAGTATGTTTTTTGGATTTTTGACCTTGAAAAAAATTCGAAGTAGGCCTTGAAAATTTTATTTATATTTCGACTTCACAGCACTCTAATAGAACTATTGACGCTCTATCTATTGAAAAAAAAAACTTCTGAATCGGATAATAAATAACAGTTTTAGAGAGGTGGCCCGCTTTCAAATGGGTCACTCTGTATATTCTTATCAGAATCAGAAATGATTATTGAATAACGGAATTAGTTAGCTCCCAACTATATTATTAACGGGGAGCTGTTAGGGGGTAGGTTGCAGTATATCGTTTACTTGAACTATACCAGTTCGACTGGGGAAGCAGCTACTATGTAACAGAAGTTGTTATTGTGAAAATTGTTCGCTAATAACTTTGAGACTACTTCACTCCTGTGAGAAAAATTAAATTTTCAACTTCTCAGACACCCTGTACACAAGTGTGTTTTCAATTTTCATCAATGATCGTATTTTTCAACAAACAAAATTTGTCTCCTTCAGAAACAAGAAATTGTCGGTCCTTTTGTCGTCCTATCTACCACGCCACGGGAGGTACAGCTACCGTACTGAGTCATGGTCGGTGGGAGAAATCATATCTGCGTAAAGTTTGGGTCGGTGTATGACATATGTTTATGCAATTTACTTTTAAACTCCATCACTAACTGAATACGGTCCTGAATTTGGATGTTTGCGGTTCGAATATTCTAACAGACCGATAACAGATTTCTACAAATCTACTGCACGTCTACAGCTGAACTGTATAACTTTGTATTTACCTGTAACTTATAGCTGTCGTCGGTAATGATAACAGCGTCCTTGCACTTGTCCAGCGCGGCGTAGAGTCCTTGGCAGGACGCGTGCTGTGCCATCGGACGGACATCGCTGTGCCTCAGCAGGATGAGCTCATTGACGCAGGCCACCAAGTTGGTTGTCTCCACAAGACACTGTCGGCAAATCAGGGAAAATAAATTATGATGCAGTATTTCAAGAAAGAAAAAAAAATTACACTAAAACAGTTGTGCGAGAACTTTCCATTTATTAATTTATCAACGTTGGGATACGAACAGAACAAGTTCCACCATCCACTAAATTACAATATGGTTTTTAAATCAACGTATCAAAACATATATGATGTACGAACTGTAAGGCCATTTACCAAGGTAGTCTCAGAGGTACCTGGCCTGACCCAGAGATGGCGGTAGTTGTTTAAAAAATATTACAGTATTAGAAAGTACACAATCTATAGAGCAAATGTTTCAAGTTTGAAGACGCTGCGTTGTTTAGTATTTGTTTGACAGCTATCAATAGCGAACTTTTTCGGTGAATTTGTGAAAATGGAGAAAATCGATCATCGTCATGTGGTACAATACAGTTATTTGAAAGGCCCAACCAATATAAAGGCTTAACTGGATTCTCCTCTGGGTGAGTCTGCTTCAAAACAAACTAATTTATTGTGGTGTTGTAAAAAATGAAAGATGTCATGGACAGATTAATAAATAATTTAGGATTGAGCACAGTCCTACACTGGCAGATTCAGTCAATCCACTTTTCAATCACAAAAATAGAACATATTCGTATAATTCTTTATGAGAATCACACAATAGATTGTTTAGTCGAGACAATTGAAAAAGTTCAACACGTTACATTACGTTGAAGACTCGAGTGTGGGTGGTGAAATAAAAAGAAAATGTTCATATCTTTCTCTGCACACTGAAGACCAAATTGCTTCTGACTTTCCAGTTTCAATTTCGTTAATTCTTTTCTCTTCAGTAAAACGAATGAGCAATGGGGAATGTTCCTCCTGACGAAAATCAAGTAGTTTTCATAAAAGAACATTTTAAATTTATCATTCCAACCTGTTTCTTTAAAAAATCATTTAAATACTTAAAAAAGAGGAATGAAATAATGCATTCAAGATTTAAAGGGATTCGTTTCTATTTCACCATTTGGCAACATCGGTTATAGCTAATAAAGGACAATGAATCTGTTACCTGTATGAGACAAACAAAGATGACATATTTCAGAGGCGTGCTGTTCTGTTTACTTATGTTCCGAGTTCCGAGACATTCTGTGACATATGACATTTTGTGCACGTAACCTATCTCCTCTATATAAATAAATAACAAAACAACTGTTGTTTATGTGGATTGTGGAGGTGGTATTGAACTATAATTTATATTTTGCCTTGATTGTTGATTCATAAAGATAATTTTCCTTTTTTAAATTAGAATATCTAGGTACGTATAAATTATTTCAACTTGATATAGGCGCTGTTGCCAATACGTAAATTAGAAACAAATCTCTTTAAAAATTGAAACCCAACATTTGAAAGATCAATTTGAATACTTCTAGAAGTGAATTTGAAAAACTCATGAAATAAACTCAACTTTATCTTGTTCAAACTTGCATTTGCTGTAATAACCCAAATTGAGGAACATTCCCCATTGTGCTTTTTCCGAAAAGATAATTATTCTTAATGTATATAACCCTCTTATACATCAAAATCCTACGCATACCGTTAATATTCTGATGGGAATACATTCGAAATCCAAAATATATGAACTCAAGAATTAGAGGAAAGCTGTGAAATCACCGCAAACTATTTTCAGCAAGAAAAACTGTGATTGTTTAGGTTAGGTTAGGTACAAAGTGAGTGGGTCTATTCAACCCTCCACCGCAACCCGCAAGGGTTTATTGTGGCTCACACCTAATAACACTCGACCAAATAAACCCAGTTTATTAACGAAGCCGATTAGTTTGAATGGTGAGTGGTCTTTCACGTTCGGCTCTGCCGAACTCTAGAAACCTGATTCCTGTCCCCAGCGGGGCAGGCACAAAGTATATGCTCTGCTGTTTCATCTTTTTCCAAACAGAGGCGACACACACTGTCTTCCAAAAGTCCGAGACTCTGCATATGATGATTCAAATGGCAGTGACCTGTAAGAAGGCTTGTTAGACATCGTAGTTCATTCCTACTGCAGTCCAACAACTGTTTGGTATCAAGCTTCGAAGGGTGAATAAACGGCTTGGAGTGAGCCAATTCTGGAAGATTCTGCCAGAAGTTCATAAATCTTCTTGCCATCCAGGTGTTTAATCTTTATTTGGCAAATCCTGAAGCGTCAATATGGTCTGGAATCCAGACCAAAACAATCTGTTAAGTCTTCCTATCGAGGAGAGTCGTTTTTGGCAGTTTGCTACCAATTTAGACTGTCATTGTTAAAGAAAACTACAGACTTGCCATTAGAAGAACAGTACATTAATTTTATTTTAAGAAAGAAATACCGACCGATGATCAAAAAATGTCTTCAATGGTAGGCAGAAAGAAATTGTGGAATTAAATTTATGTTGGGGAAACAAACGGGAAAATTGCTGTCAATCGGAATTTATGACTGTATTTACCTTTGTAGCAAATCAAAAAGATATTGAAGCATTTGATTTATGTCCCGTATTATATGACAACAGTTTCCACTCAAAGAAAAAATATAAAAAAATTGATTAGATTTTCTTTTACTCAGTCAAACAATGTACTTATGTTCATTTAGGAGCCTTGTGCTGATCAATCGATAAATCCGACATTTTCTGTATTTTTTTTTTCTCAAAACAATGCATGCTTCTACGAAATTCATTTTAAAACTGACGTTGAACAACTATTCAGTTGATACTGGATACTTAAAACAAACGCTGGCACATTTCAACCGAACAGGTTATTCAATCACCGACACTAAAAAGTTGCCAGTGTGAGGCTAGCTGAAAAAAGTGAGAATTGTACTATTTTTCAGTGTAGGGACTGTTAAATCTTTGCCAATCATCTTTTTTTATCCTGCTTATCAAGGGCTGGTTAACGGAAAAACGTTCTGAAAGAAATCAATGGACAAGCTCCATTTTCATAAACTCATCGTGAAATTTTTTGTAACAAAATAAAATATCCATTGTTGATCCACTGATCCACATCTAAATAAATATACACAAAGTCAAAATAGAGTTATAACCATTGGGGTTTTGGAACCTGGTTCTTACAAAGAAAATCTTCGATTCACACCCTTCTTCACCCACACTGAAGCACATGAAAGAAATTTCTTTGTCGAAATTTCCAAGGTCATAACCACAAGGATCTTCAATGCTGTATTTGAATTAAAATTATTCACTTCAACTGCCAAACAGTGTATACCGCGTTCAAAGACAACTCACGCTCAACAGCAAACTTCCCGGTTTCAAACTTCCCAAAAATATGTAGACAATTCTCTACTGAACTCAGCTTTGATGTCTCCAGGTTTTCACACGCACCCCCGACAAAGCTACCAGTCCAAGTGATAAAGGAGACGAGCATAATACACGAATTTTACCCTGCCGACTTAGATAATGAGTGAAATGTTTATGTTTGTACTTCGTGAACAAATTCACCCGTATTCGCTGACTTACAGTACATCAACTAATTTTCATCTGACGCGATGTAGAAGTTTTGAATGATAACTCCACAAAAGCTTCCCGAGTTCAAGATAAGTTCAGACTTAAAGGGGAAATGATATCAACATAAATGGTGGATTTTGCAAATTCAAACTGTGTCTTACGATAAACTGAATATAATATAATTTTCCATTTTTTTATTCACTTTATCCAAAGTCGAATCAACCTCCAGGGTTATTAGCGACTGAACAATGCATCACTTGGAGTCTCGTAGTGGCCGTGGTAGTGGACGTCCGTCCACAAAGAAGGTAAGCGGATGCCCTGTGCTATCGTGGGGCTCTTTTTTGTGTTGTGATAGTCCATTGTAATAAATACTGAAATGTGTGAAAGTTTTTAAAAAGTGAGTTTAAGGGCCCCTTTATTTACGCCGGTATTCAGGCCGGGGTGATTCGGAAAACCACGTAAAGGGGCCATGTATGTGAATTCAAAAATTAGAAGGTCTCTGGAAGAGGATCGACCCAATAAATATATGTTAAAAAATCAAAAGGACTCCTGAGCAGGAGGCGACAATAAAAAAGTACTGTGTTTTTTATTATAAAAAGTGTGACAAAAAAGGGGTGGCAGCAGTGCTTTGAGCAAGACCGCTACGCCCTCCCCCGACGAAACTTCTGTCAAATTGATGTCTATTTGATAGGAGGCGACTGGACAAATGCGCCCGAGTGGGAAGCAACATCCATTGATTTAGAGAGAGAGACAGAGAGAAGGCATCAGTTGTAGGGGTATTATATAAGGTTGAACAAGTTGATTTTCAAAAATTTTCGCAATATTTTCAATATTACACTTAGTTCCTAATGCGTTGTTAATTGGAGCGTTAATTCGTTAGAATATAGCACACGTTTTGTTAAGGTACCGTCAACGGTCACGGGAGAGTCGCACACTTCACACATAGAACTGGTGTCGCCGGTGATTAGGTATCCATGGGTGAGAACAGTGTGGCCTATAGACCTGTCCGAGATGCTGTCAAAATCAAATCAAAATGGCCGCCTGTAGGCACACATGTTTGTTCTAATGGAAAGAAAACTAGAAGAGTCTATACTCAACTTGTCCTTGTGAGAGATTGTGTTGCTGCTTGCTAAAATTCGTTGTTTGAGGCTGATTTTACATGTCAATCGTCCTTCATAACATAAAATCATGCCTACAACGTGTTGTGTTGTAAATTGCGGAAGCCGTGGGTGTCGTGAATGGATGAACTTTTACAAAATACTAAGTGAATTAACTTTTTGCGCATAGAGAGGACTTGAACAAACTTCCAAAAAGGAGACGCCAAAAAAGGAATACACGCTATCAGAAGAAAAGATCTCACAGAAGTCAAACTTAAATACAGTAGAGTGTGCAGTAAACTTTTTTGTCTGGAGAAAAATTTATGGAATATTTGATTTTCATAATCAAATGATATTATAGCAAAACCATCCGAGTTGAATGACGAAAATAGCCTGACTGGGTTTCATCTTTGGCAATGGGCTATGGAAATGATGGAGTGGTTCGTAAAAAAGGTCATATCAATTCTGTCAGAGAAGAAAGAGCAAGGAAAAGAAGGAGACACCTGATAGAAGATATATCTGAGGTACAGTAACATTAGATTTTGTTTAATTTCATCAAGGTATTGGTTTATTTTGTAGGAAGCTCCTGATGAGATCGAAGATGTTGAGTTATTGGAGGCACAATCAAAAGAAAATGATAAAAGAAGCAACTAGAGCCATTGCACATGTCAGGATTCATGTAGGAAGAGTAATAGGTTGCATTCATCAAAAATGTAGGATTCTATCAGATTATGTGCCAATTTCTCTGCTTGTTTGTGGTGAAGATTATACGATCTTTGATAAAATAGTGACTGTGTGTTGTGGATTGACGAATATCTGCCCACCAATAGAATCTAGGAGTTAGATTGAATTTATGATAAAAATCTCATGAAATTGTTTTTGTAAATTGTATATACTTAGTCTAGATTTATATTTTTGTTCCAACTGTCGTGATATGTTTTATTTTATTGTATTACGTACAACTAGAATTTTTAAAAAAATTGGAAAATCATATTTCAGATCATGGAGATATTCAATTGGTGCGTATGTTAGAAACTAGATTTCGTTAGTATATAGAATATTTTCTTGTCCAAACACTTTTATTAAAAACAGCCATCATAATTATTTTCACAGCTTCCAATGATAACAAAACAAGAAAAAACTGTGAAGTACATATGTCATTGTACTCATTGTGTGCCTACAGGCGGCCATATTATTCGAGAATTGGTCACGTGTTCTGGACATCCTTATTCGCAAGCGAGATATTATAACCTACTCTCTACTTGTTTGGGAGATGTATCCATGTAGTACGGAATCCCACTGCAAAATTAGTGTAGGAATAATGTAGACAATCAAAACTTAATTTTGAAGTCATTTCATAAGCAGGATAATCAATTTTTCATAAGGTGCCAATTAATAATTACCCGCCAGTACTATTAATAAAATATTAATTGACTTTTAGAAATAAATTTCGTTTACATCTCGAGGAAATACAGCCTACAGCATTTTAGAATAGTGTATTCGAAAGATTTGAAAAGTCACAGTTGCTGCTGATTGTTCAGCCGCTACCTTTACGCAGCCAGGTTAAACAATTATGATTTTGTTTGAACTTTTCGTTCATTATGTATATTTATTTCATTTACACTACATTAAATTTAAATTTTTCCTGTACTTAATTTTATAAAGGTGCTTGTAAAAAAATCCACAAATCAAAGTTTCCTGACTTTAAAGATGTTAGGTATTGAAAATAAAGTGACAAGGACGCTAAATACCAGCTGTACCCATTGCGCATGCCTTGATAAATAGCGTTCTCAACCAACGGTCTAAATAGTTGGAACGACTCTGATTAAATGCTCCAAAAAAAAGTGAACACATAAAATAACTATAATAAACTAGCGTCATTCACATCTTGACATCAAAGTTTGATTACATCTAAAACATGTTGTACACTTTGGCAGACAGTAATGTCGTCGATTTTAAAATATAGTTTCAGATCGTCTGCAAATAGTAGGCTAGGAATAATCAAAGCGATTGCCAAGTCATTAATAAAAATAAAAAATGAAAGAGGTCCAAGATTGGAACTTTGTGGTACCCCAGATGTAACTACGTACTGGGCCGATTTGAAAGATTCATATTCGACGAATTGTTTTCTGTTAACTAAATATGATTCAATTAGAGTAAGCAGTTGGTTAGAGAGTCCCAATTTTGTCAATTTGCTGAGAAGAACGTAATGGTCTAATTGATCGAAGTCTTTTTGAAAGTCTAAATAAACAACATCGACTTGTTTTTGCTTGTCCAGGTACGTACAGAGATATTGATTTAAACATGTAAGATTTGTCATACTACATGATCTCAGAATTACTAGGAATAAAAATTGACGTGTTCTTTGAAATTCCCGATTACACGTCCGTTTGTGACTTACAGGGGGGTCAAGTTTTCGATGGAACGTCCTGTATTTCACAATAGGTAAAAACAACATTCAACACCGCATGAACAACTGAAATAAACTAATTTCAACTTGAGCACGTTGAACATAAAAGTTGGTCACTCCAATATCATAAAATCTTTATTACTCCTCCGCCCGCTCTTTGACATGTGTGTCCAAATCAATCAAACTAGTACAGACGTAAAATAATATTACGGTTATTGAACCGTAATGTTTTCAATAATTCAATTGGAACGGCTCTGTTGATTTAGGTCCTTGATTCATTTGCCAACAATAATAATAGCCCGCAGACACCTGCCAATCTCGTGTCAGTGAAAATCCATCTATTTCATCAGCGCACTTAAAATTAAAGCCATGTTTTTTTTTTCTAGAATGGCGATCGCGCATATTTCACAATATCGCCCTTATCGGCAGCGGTTCCGGATTTTTCATTTCCACACACCCAGCGGAAGATTTTCAGCATATTTATGGGCAGACCTTCAAAACGCTACCAGCTCCGAATTACAATGAAGCGACACGGGGGATTATATTGAGTTCGTGCAGATTCAAATATGCAGACGAGATGTCTCTATAATATAGTCATATTCCCAACTACCTTGAGATCGACATTTTTTTAATAAATGAGGTTCAAGTCACACCCGACAAGGGTGTGAGGGTTATATTTTCCTTCTGCCCTTACATTTTTCCTTCCGAAAAAACGTTGCCCGTTTGAATTGAATCTAAACTTATAAATAGGGTGTCAATTTGAAAACTTCCTTTCCACCCTTAATATCTTCCCTTAGAATTTTAAAAGGGAAGGGGGATCAAGTGGCACATTATTTTGATTGGCGTTCAATTCTGCTTCCAATGGTACCCTGATATATATATATATATATATATATATATATATATATACATATATAGTCACTAATTACATATTGACTAATTACATGTGTAAGTTTAGAACGCTATTTTTCGGAAACTGCTCATCAAGAAATAAAACGTCAGTGTATCATTGGAAGCAGAATTGATCACCAATCAAAATGATGTCCCTATTGACACCCATTTATGATTTCAAGGGTAAAATCTACTCCTCTTTGGGGGTTGAACCACGAGGGTTACAAATATTCCTTGAAAGTGTCCCCTTTGGCTATGAAGTTACCAGTTTTTTCGATTCCTCATATTATTTGCTGGAGGAAGGCAAATAATACAACTAAAAACGAGAGACGATAATATTTTTAAAACAGGTATTTGATCAGAGAAGAGGATTCTAACATCACTGTTGATATGAATATTTTAGCAAAAATTAGGCAACAGTTTTACTAAATTTGTCAGATGAATAACGTTGAAAATGAAAAACTTACCCTGTTGAAACCAGAATCCAGTAGAGACACTATCGTACTGTCATCTTTCTCGAATGCACTGTAATATAATGAACATCAATAAAATGTGGAATGTTACGAAACTAGAAATTGTCAACTTCGCCACCAATAATAAAAAAAATGTTGGATGATAATACATGAATTTTAACATAAAAACTAATTAATATTTTCAGTAGTTTTTTTATTCCGTTAAATAAGTGAAACCGTGAATATTACTGGAGTTTTTTCCCAACTCCAAACCATTATTTCAACGCTTCGACACGTGTTTCGATCACCAAGTGATCATCTTTAAGAGGAAGATTAAACAGTTCAATCTGATCATGAAGATGATCACTTGTTGATCATCACTGGATGAAATTCCAATAATATTCATTACTACACCAAAGGTTGCAAACAGTGCATGACAAGAATTTACATTTCCGCCTTTTATTAATTTTATTATTGAATCTAGCAAATTATTTTTTTATCAAGTACAAACAAAACTGCGTTTTCAAATACCTACACAATAATTGTTGGTCTGTACTTTTTTAGCTGTATAACTGTGTATAGTAAAATTAGACGGTTTCGAAAGCTAAATGGAAATTATGAAAAATCGTTTTCCCTCATTTCCTGATTGTCTCGAATTGTATGGGTATGAATGAAGTCAATAATTTTGTTGACAGTTGGATTATCTAATTCTAATTGGCAACCTCATCGCTATGGAAAGTTGTTTCTTCAACAAATGGTGACGATAAATACGATTTCGTCAATAGTGGAAAATACAAGCACAAGTCAATATTTTCACAAGATTATTTCGAAAAGCTAAAGTGACTCAATTGTTGAAAACTGTGCAACTGTTGTGAACTGAGCTTTAGAAAAACCGATTGAACTAGTATTCTGCCAATAATTTTAAGAATCATACATTTTAAGGTAGTTTGCAGTCCGATTGTGAATATTTTCCTTTAAAAAAATTATTCCTTTCCGATATTGAACGAAAGTTATTATTTGTGAAGGAAATCTGAGTTTTTTTATCATTTTCTATGGGTATTGTCACCTTTCACAATCTGAAAAATATGAAAATTGTAATGAAAAAATTTATATACGTGTAGAAAGAGCAAACTTTTCAGTTCACCATGATAAAAAACTCCTTTGACATCTATCGAGGAAGTTTAGAGATGAAGAGGATCAAAGAATCAAGAAATTGGGAAACGCAATTGTCAAATTATTACAAAAACTCATCACTTCATAGAAAACAAATATTTTCATTTTGGTTTTGAAATGCAAGTTCAGGAAACGGCTTTACTTAATGATTGGGTTCAAATCACTTGAGATAGGGACTCATTAATGATTCATGGATATGTAACTTTTTTGACATTTAGTGTATTCGACACAAACTTTTCAATCTCTACAAACCTCTTTTCAGGAAGTTGAGTGTAAGTGGAAAAATCTTTCATTTCAAGAAAGTCAGAATTGAATCAAACTATCTGTATCTTAACGTTTGTTTGAGGGTGATTGACAATGTTTCATGACGAATGAATTTTTTCATGAATTTTTTGATCATTTTGTTCCATTTTTACTTGTATTTTATTTCACTATTATTTCATTTCAGGTTTTTTGCTTAATATAATTGTTTTTTCAGCTATTCATTTTTATTCTTGTTCTTTGATTTTTTAATTCTTTTTTTTAGTTCTTTCAGGGATTTCGAATCATTTTATATAATATCCCAAGAGTTTTTATATTAAATCATATCGTTTCCTTTTCCTCACCTTTTCTTTACTATCGCTACAAGAACAGTATGCTGCCCACCTTTGGTATTCCTCATAGACCTGAAACAATGGAAATTATGGATTAAAATTTCAGTAAAAATAAAAATAGTGACAATCATAAACCTGTATCATTATAATAAACGTTATTGAATACGAATTCTAACAGATAAGTTATATGGAATGAGTACATAAATTCTCATTTACATTCGTTAACTTGTCAAATGAACATTTATCCTAATTACAAAAAATATTTGTCTGTATTGGTTAATTAGTTGATACATATTTAAGTAGTGTTGGTTTTTTAATGATATTCAGAACATAAACTGCATTACAATCCATTATCATTCATGTGACATTATATTTATAATGGATTTCCAAAGATCCAGCATATTATGGTTCTGTTAATATTTGGGAAACAGAGAAAAATCATCCATAAACAGTAATTATTCATATGGGAAAAACCGTCTTGTAGGGATATATTTCGAAAATTTAGAATCTTAACCCTAACCTGTGTACATTTTTGAATTGTCAATCTATGTTTCAAAAACACGAATAGATTTCCTACAAACGGAAGTATTCATAATGTGAACACTAGACAAAAAAGTGATCTCCATGTTCTGTTTCGTCAGTATAAAACAACGCTAAATTGTCCATCAGTGGTAGGTCTTACTATTTTCAATAAACTCCCTAGGTGTTTGAAAGATATAACAAACCTCAATAATTTAGTAACTTGTTGAAGAATTATTTGATTGAGAATTGTTTTTATAATTTGCAAGAATTTTACAATTCGTAATATATAAGTGTATCTGTGGTGTATTTTAGTTTATTTTAATTTTGTTGTTGTTGTTTTAATAACAACGGTGTGGCTCACACTGTGAATTTTGTGACATTTTTTTATGTGTACTTTGACGATTTCAATACATGTTATTTGTGTTTAATGGAAAATAAATATTATTATTATTATTAACCAAGGATCCCGAAGTCTTGACTTCGAATTAATAATATTAATAATAATAATGAATCATTTATTACCTAACAGTAACAACCATTTACAGAGCAATTTATATCCTAGCACTAATACATAGAGATCTCAGCGTTATCATACGATATACGCTCTAGACTTATTTTTTAATTCGATTAAAGAACAGGAAAAAATTTCACAATTTTGTTATAGTTCGTGCACATTACATAGATTGGTGCCTTAAGCATAAGGTTAGTTTGCGCCCGTTTACACATATTTTTAGGAGAAATTAGTTATTTGGGAAAAATAATTTTTGGCTTTTAACTTCTTCGTCATTGAACAGAAAATGCGGGATATTTCCAAAGAAGGGAAGAACTAAAATAACAATAATGAAAACTCTTTACAGAAATGTGTACTACTCTGTTCTCAAATAATATTAATTTAATCATTAATTTCCACTCGTGCCAACGTTTTGATTATTGAGCTGTCTCGGCGATTCAGTTTTTATCTCGTCAATCGTCGCAAAAAGCCGCCTTTTCATGAATATCTTCAATCTTGGGAACAGAAAAAAGTCGCAGGGGGTCAAATCTGGTGAATACGGTGGCAGAGGCATGATTACTGTGTGGTTTTTGGTCACTGACAACTATGTATTCACTATGTATTCATATATTCAACATATATTCTAAATATTGAATTTCTTGTACTATTCAATTTCATTCGTTACAACATGTTTTGTGTTAAACATATCGATTCATCAATAGTTTCTTTTTTATAGAGTTATATTCAGTTATACCCCTCCACAAGTGTTCCCGCATCTGGGATGAAACCAAAATTCAACCTAAAGATCATCATCAGTATTCGTCAAGTCGAAACAACATTAAAGTTCCTCTGCAATTATGCGTTATCGCACCGGAGAGGAAAATTGAAAGTGAAACGATTCCTTTTGGGAGCATATTCGAAACACTGACATATATACGAGAAAGATACACACGAGGACGGGGAGGACAAAAGGTCTTTGTCGAAAACTAAATATCTCCGCGTGCTGCCCTGTGAAGATTGGGTCGTGTCGCTCCGGGCACTTGCCGAAACGAGTTTTCCATTCCATCTCAATAGATTATGATATAATGGTCCATTGTTGGGAAAGTTATCTGCTGAAAGAATGTTTTAAATTTTTTGTTAAACTATATTGTTCGTTATTTCTACCGCAGGTATGCTGCTGGCCTTATCGATATAATGCCATTTTTGCAGGAGTTTTTGGTTTTATATCTGAGCTTGGCTCTATCAATACATACGGAAAATCATATCGCCAGTGTCTTCGTATATGATTATTATTAAACGTTATCATCTTTGATTAAGTATTATGCCAAGAAATTTAAAATAAGTTCAATATTTAATAACTGTTTTTCAGGGCTAATTCGTTTCTCAACTCGTATTAACTAAACTTTATAACATACTTTTTTTCGACTTTCTTCCAACAAATTATACGCAGGAATATATCCACTGAAACTTAGAAAGTTACTTTTACTCCAAAGTATATCTTCATCCGTAGCGAAATACTAACAGATATGAAAGTCGGTCCGATGAATGATGAAAGAGAGAAACAGATGCATTTAAAAAAATAACTACGCACTGTCCACTACATATACGATACCTTCGTCAGAAAGAAAAAAACTGTTAACTAATAACAGCTCCATCTCGTGAACAAAGACCTGAGAGGGAAAAAACCAACCCGTGTACCAAAATATTTTTGAAACGTTCATAAATCTCAATGTCTCTACACTGTGGGATATAGTAAATATCAGCCGAAAAAAACTTATTTCCCGAGCTAATATCGCCACGGACATTGAATTTGACGTATTCTACAGTATGGAAACGAATTTTTCAATTATTGAGTCATAAAGAGTTCAGGAAAAATTTTTGATGTCTTAGACTCACTAGGCTAAACCACTGGGATTCGCAAAGAGCCCAGCTTCATATTGTATTGGAATGTTGAAGTTTTGGGTTTCTTTTTCATATATCCATGTTTCTGTTAGAACTAGAAGAGGATTTGTTTCTGTGTTGTGTTAATTAGGCTTTCCAGGTCTTCCAGTTTGTTCCTTATGCTTCTTATATTTATGTATAGTATGTTCATCTTATTTATAGTCACCATTTTGACACTTTCTTTTCTTTGTCACTTTTATTTGTATTTGTTTCAGTAATTTTGCAAGTCATTCTCAGGGTGTATCCCTGTTATTGGCTGCTATTATCATTTCTTTTTTCTTCTCGAATGTTCGGAATTTTTAACTAGTATGTGTGCACTATCTTTTCTATTCACTCTAAAACTGCCTTCAATATCTTCTCCTCTCACTGATACACCCACTGTATTTGCGATATTCATCGTGATTTGGTTGGTGTTTTTGTTCTGATGTTCTGGGACTCCGTACAGTATTAGATTTTTTTCTTTTTCCTTCTGTTGCTGCCATTTAAGTTTGTTTTCTAAGTGTAGTATACGTTGGTTTAGTTCATCATTTTCTTCTGTAATTGATCTGACTGTCAAAAATGTCTGACATATACTCCACTGATTTCTTCAGTTTCCTCTAGGTGTTTCCTCATCGGCTCACAACATTTCAGTTTTGCTACATCTAGAGTTAAATTTGTGTTTATTTTTTCAATTGTTTTGTTTGATAAGCATAATCTCACTTTTGGTACGTGTATCACAGCATACTATTTCTTGTTTGCCATTCACTGCATTTGCCTGATTTGCACAGCTTGGATGGAATGGTGATGCAAAATTTTTGCAGTCTACCGAGTTTGCAACTTTTTTACAGTGTTTACAGCATTTTTCATTCTCTAGGGATTTCACGTTACTTTGACTTTTTGACATTTTGACATATTACATTTGACATATTACTGACTATTTTAAAAATACACTGATATGTAGAATTGTAATATGAAATATTTCTTGATAAATACACGTAACCTCATTCCACGGCAAACTTCCAATGGAACCTTGATGTGACACAAACTATTTTTTTACTGAACAAATGATACACTTGCGATACTAACTTCAGATGTAAGAAAACGAATAATCAATCCCTTTCAAAAATATTTCGAGCAAATGAATTCGATATGTACTTCTTTATGACATGCATTTCAGTGAGTGGAAGAAGGTGGATCAAACGGAAACAAGTTCAAATGTCAAAGAGATGTTGCATCATGGAGTCGCATCTGTGAGATTACTAGAAATACCCCCGAGAATATATAGAAATTCAGTAACAGCGATGTTTGACAAAAACGTGGCGGTAATTTTGTTTCAGTTTATTTCATTTTGTCAGTATGCAGGATAGCAACAAGTACTTGACATGTACAGAGTGAGCCAAATTGGACATTTTTGAAGGAAAACTCCTGTTTTCGAACAAGATAGATGAAAAATGATGGCTGTGCCTGTGGGTTAAATTTTATGACAAACTTAATGGTGAAACCGGCGTATCGATATCTATCATCGTTTCTGTTGAATATTACTGGAGTTTTATACCAATACCAAACCGTTATTTCAACAAGAGAGGAAAATCAAACTAAATATACGTACAATGTTTTTCTTATTTATACCATCCTCTCCTTGAAGATGATCACTTGGTGATCGAAACACATGTCGAGGGGCTAAAATAGTGGTTTGCTGTTAGGCCTGCTGCTGTAACTTTTTTCTTGATAAAAAATTCTTATTTCTGTGAAAACATTTCCAAAGCACGAGACCATCAGTTTCATTTTCCATAATTCTCATACTGCATTGCGAATGTGTTTGAAAATTGAACAAAAACCACTGATTGAAAAGCGTTTCTACTGCATAAATCAAATTGTGCATTCTATTTTATCGCCGCATCGTCCAAACCCTACTTGATCAAAGTGTGCGTTTCAAAGTCTACATGAAAAAACCTAAAAGCCTCATATTTCAAAGATGACTAGCAAAACATCAAGTGTGCTTCATTTTTGGGAAGGTATCTTGACCTCCATTGACATAAGCAGGAATATATAGGGTGTCTCATTAAAAAAATTGTTTTCCATCAATAATTATTGATATCTCATTTGAAGAAATACGTTTTTTCACACCATTGAATTCTAC